AAGGAGCACCCACACTAGACAGTGTGTGTAGAGATGGGGAGACATTTTAAAGATACGTGTATCAGAGTTAGAATGAGCAGCATTTCGTAACTCCCGAGTATAATAGGTGAAGCAGAGGGAGGTGGGGCTTGTGATCCCAAGATTTTAATCTTTGGCAATTGGGCACTTTTTGGCTAACGGTAGTACCGTTAGCCAAAAAGTGACTACAGGTACATAAACAGATTTTGTGCTGGTGAATGATGGTTTTTATATTGATCCTGTTCTCTTGGTGTATCTCTGGAATAAACATTTAATAGAGAGTTTGGAAACATATACCTAGTTCAAAAGAAGGATCTGGGCTGAGGTACAAATTTAAGGCAGTTTACCTTGTGTAGACAACAATTAAATTCATGATAGTAAATGATGTATCGGTTCCTAAGTCACCCTGTCTGCTAAGTTACTTGTGGCAAATTGTCTAAACAGTAAAAGAATTTAATATAAAAAGATCTACGTTAAGATGATTCTAGGATTAATTCATTCAGGCATGACAGCATCACCAAGGACCTAGGTTCTTTTCATCTTTTAATGCTGCTGCTGTTCTTTATCTGTTGGGTTGTTCTCATGGTCCAGTTCTTGTTTACACATTCAAAACCAGAATTGCATGTAAAAAGGCTGGAAGCATCATGGGTCTTTTTTCATCAGCCTAGAAAAACTTTCCTGAAAGCTCTCTAGCAAACTTACTTTCTTGTCTCCTTGGCCAGAATTGCATTAGATGTGTGTTACCAGACTACCCACTTGCAAGGGGAATGGAAATTGCTGCAGTTGGTGGTTTAGAACAGAGCTTTCTAGCCCAAGTATCTTCTTCTGTCATCTCTTCTGGAAGAAGCCATTTCTCCTTGCCTTTTGATTCTGTTCTATAGTTCAGACAGGTTAGATTTTCTTGCAGACTAGTTTCATATCACTGAGTTGTTACTATTCAGTACCTCACAACAGTAAATACTTGCCAGAATCCTACTTTGTGTCATTCACTGTTCTGGATTCTAGGATACAGAAACAAATAAGAAACAAATAAGAAACTATGTTTGACATAAATATAAGCTTAAATGGAAGAGTGCTATGATAGATTTGTACACCAAAGTTCTTCTGGATTATGGATTTAGTACAGCTGTATATATGTTTGGTTTTATGAGTAAAGACATCTTGAGTTTCAAAATCAAACTTACATTCAATTTATAAATGAACTTTTAGAAATTTAGAACACAACCCATTCATGAGTTGACCTTCCCTTTCTAGTTACGTGGTTACATGTTTTATTATAGGAGTGCATGGCACACTAGCCTAAGTTAACTGTTCGTTTGAGTTATTTATAGTTTTTTAGTTATTTATAGCTAAAGCCACATTATATTTTTCTGGAACATAATGTTTGAGTTTTCTAGTTAACGTACCAAAGTAACAGTAATATCTTTAAAAACCCAACTGAAATGTTTGTAAAATATAGGTTGTTTTGTAATTTGGCTCTGTTTTTCTTTTTTTTAACGGTCATATGAATGCAGCTATAGTGTTTGCAGCAGTGTTTGTACAGTGCATGGGGTGCTTTTTCTGGGTGCGGAGAAGGGAGGAGAAATGGTAGGAAAGAGGGGATTTGGAGCAGGAGAAGGAAAACATGTGGAATCAGTGTTGTTGATTCCACCGAATTCTAAGAATTCCATTACATGTTGATATCTGGTACAAGCTCAAAGTTAATCTTAAATTTTGGCATAGAGCGTGGCCGTGGGTGCTGGCTACTTGGGAGGCTGAAGCAGGAGGCTGGAAGGTCGAGGCTGCAGTGAGCCATGATCGTGCCGCTGTACTCCAGCCTGAGTGACAGAGTGATACCCTGTCTTTAAAAAAAAAAAATAAAGGTGTTTTGGCCTAGATTGAGTAAAGAATATTTATACTATTCTTTTCTGTAAAGCAAATCTTGCTAATAATATAAATCAGTGGGTGACATTCTGAAACCTTACAGATATTTGGTATGATATCCATAATCAGTGCTTGTCCTTGGATTCTGTATGGGTAGTGATCTTTAAAGTATCTTAGTTCGTTTAAGATTTAGCCATTTTAATAATTTTGAAAATCAAGGTGGATGTGTACATTTTGATGACAAGAAAAGATATTTTGTAAGGGAAATGTGGGATTAAAATGAACTTTTCATGTTTGTTTGCAAATAATTATTAATGTTGAGGAAATTTTTATGTTAGCTCTGAATTATTAATGTTAGAATATATTTAGAAAACTTTGATTTTCATTTTTTCCATGTCATTAAGAAGCTTGCATATGTTTTTAAAAGAATTGCCTTCTTTTTAATGTGTTTTCTACAACTAATAGGCTTAGAAATTTCAGACACAAAATCTTTGAAAAAATGGCTTGTACTTATTTAGCATTTTGTTTTGACTAACACCCCTGGTAGTGGTTGAACCACAAGTTCATAGTGCTAAAAGCCTGTGGTAAATTACCTAATAAGCTAAGTGATTAAAGTTGTTTGGAACATTTTGCCTATCTAAGTCCTATTTTTATGTGTATACATATTTATAGATTTGTGCTCATATGACTATAGCACTATATTGCAAAGGTCCTAACCTTTATTTATACAGCTTCCAGTGTGTACAAAGTGACTACCAGACCTGTACTGTGGACGCATCCTTTCCTGTGTCTTTTGTTTACCTCTGAGTAATCAAGTCAAATCTTACTTGATTTTCCTTAGCTGGTCTATTTTGTTAAGTTCTGGGATACATGTGCAGGACTACCTAGTCTTAAGTTCAGTCTTTAGAAAAGGTTTTCTGGGCTGGGCACAGTGGCTCAGGCCTGTAACCCAAGCACTTTGGGAGGCCAAGGCAGGTGGATCACTTGAGGTCAGGAGTTCGAGACCAGCCTGGCCAACATGATGTGACCCTGTCCCTACAAAAAATGTAAAAATTAGCCAGGAGTGGTAGTGTTCACCTGTAGTCCCGGCTACTCGGGAGGCTGAGGTGGGAAGATTCCGTAACCCCAGGAGTTCGAGACCACCTGAGTAATATGACAAAACCCCATCTCTACAAAAAATATAAAAATTAGCTGGGCATGGTAGGGTGTACCTGTAATTCTAGCTACTTGGGAGGCTGAGGTGGGAAGATTCTTTGAGTCCAGGAGGTAGAGACTGCAGTGAGCCATGGTTGTGCCACTGCACTGCAGCCTGGGCAACAGAGCCAGAGCCTGTCTCAAGAAAAAAAAAAAAAAAGAAAGAAAACAGTTTCTGAAGTTTATGTTAAGTGTTTGTACATGTGGGAGAACAGGGGAACAGATTATCTGAGGTTTTGGACTTTGAAGATGGGATGTTTGAAAGCTCTTTTGGTTATGTTCTCTATTTTTTTAACTTTAGATTTAGTCCAAAACCTAAAACTTTTTGGCCAAGGAAACAAAGTTATAGTAAATAGTGCTGTAACAAACAATAGTTGTTAAGTAGTTTACATGTTAATTTTATTGTTTGATACATTGGAAATATCTGGTAGAATTAGAATCAGGCTGTGTGTGTGGGGTGGGGGGAGGGGTGGTCAGGCTGGTCTCCAACTCTTGACCTCAAGTGATCCACCCACCTCGGCCACCCAAAGTGCTGGGATTACAAGCATGAGCCACTGCACCCAGCTAGGCCATATATTTTTAAAACAGACGCTTTAATGGACTGTTTTTACTTTCACGGGAATAAATTAATTTGAACTTTGTTTAATTCTGTGATTGCCTCTTTTCTCTCCCACACCCTTAGGGAGAAATGGAGTCATTGGCAAAGAATGGCTTTGGTGGAAAATCTCTTTATGCCATTTCCAAAATGGAAACAATGCATTTCTTTTCTTAATTAGTAAAAGGGAAATTAAGAATATGAGCATCTCAGAAGAACACTAAACACCACCTCTTTATTTTTGCCTCCCCTCATTTCTCTGAGGGACAGTCTGAGAGTTTTATAGTCGTATGAGGACTCTGAAAAGTGTTAGGGACCTGGCTGAGTTGTGGGTAACTAGTACATTGAGAAGACTGTGAAAGGCTCCTGAATGCAGACAAAGCATTACTAATTGCTTTCAGGGTCAGGCTGTCTTTAGCTGGACCATGAAAGATACAGCAGCCTGTCTGCTGAGTGGAGACTCTTGTCTTTAAGAAAGACTACTATCTGATATGGTAGACTGTTTCAGGTTGCCCCAGTTTACATGAATTTAGTTATTATTGCCAAGACTGCTAAACCTCAGTGTGACACAAGTGATACTTCTAAATGGATTTGAAGACAAGATATTTGACCTTACAATGGGACATTCCCTTTTAAAATATGAAACAGAATACTTTGCTATTTGAAGTTTCTGTTAAAAGATTCAATGAAATTATTTTTAAGATCTCTAAGTAAAAAGCAGACATATCTTAACAAATTTTTTTGTTGCTTGAACCTGGGAGGTGGAGGTTGCTGTGAGTTGAGATTGCACCACTGCACTCCAGCCTCGGCAACAGAGGAAGACCCTGTCTCAAAAAAAAAAAAATTATTTTTTAAAGTTTCAATAGTTTCTATCTTTTAGATTTAAATGAAAAGTGGTTATGAGACTTTGTAATAAAAAAGAAAAAAATATGATACTAGCTAGGTGGTCCCTTATGTTTTTGTCTAAGTAGGAATCTGAATATTGTAGAATTGTACATTTTAGTGCTGCTTCTAGCTATTCCTGTTTTTTCCAAATTGAGATGAGATTTTTTTTTTTTTCCCTCCAAAGCTTAAGTTAAGATAGGAATTTTATATGGGAGTACTACTATTCCCACAGAACTAACTTCACAAGTGTAAAGTTTGGGGAGAGGTTGAAGAAAATGGTAAAGTGATAGATTTCTTAAAAACTGTAGAAATTTTCATTGACTTTACCTTGAAAATGTATAGTTTTACATGTGAAACACTTCTAGTATTGCTTCTACATGTGTTATTCTGACAAAGTTTCTTAAATCTTAAATTAGTTTTTTTTTTTTTTTTTATTCCTAAACAGACTTATGGAAATATGCATCAGTTTAATACTGTCTTGGAATTCATGAGATGGAAGCATAGGTCAAAGCTGTTCGGAGAAAATTGGAAGTAAAGTTTTACCTAGCCACATCTTGGAGGTAAGGAAAAGACATAATTGGGAAAAGAACATAATAAGAATAATACAAAATTTCTGATTTTTTAATGGTGAAAAGTAATCCTTCTACACTGCAACTTTATTTGAGCTTTCTTCAGTTTCTTTTTAACACCACAACTTTATATTAGCTTCTTTAGTTTCTTTAATCATCTTTCTGATGAGTTCATAAGTAATTCTAATGTATTTTCCTTATAAATGTTGAACCTCTTCAGAAGAAAAAGGTATTTATTTCTTACTAATCACTTTCATAAATCTCCTTTTAGAAGATAAGCATTAAATGGTTTACACATTTATTTCTTCCCCGAGTTTGCAAAGCAGCGTTCAGAATGCAAGATTAGGTCAGGTGCAATGGCATGTGCCTGTAATGCCAACACTTTGGGATGCTGAGTCTGGGGGATCACTTGATGACAGTAGTTCGGTACCAGCATGGCCAACATGACAAAACCTTGTCTCTACTAAAAATGCAGAAATTAGCTGGGTGTGATGGTACAAGCCGGTGATCTCAGCTAGCTGGGAGGCTGAGGCATGAGAATTGCTTGAACCCAGGATGTAGAGGTTGCAGTGAGTTGAGATCACGCCACTGTACTCTAGCCTGGGCAACAGAGCGAGACCCTGTCTCAAAAAAAATAAGCAAGATTATATTGAA